ATGATTAACTTAAGCTAAATATATAATAACAAACTCCATAGAGTTGTTAGCTTATATATTGTATGATATAATAACCATAGTACTGAGCTTAAGATAATAAAAGAACTTAAGCAAAATATATATAGCATGTAGCTATTTAGTACTGTTATAAGATAAGTAAAAATCTGTAAGATTGACTTATCTTCTCCGAGGAACTGTCAACTGTTGTGCGAGGACCATGGGACCGAATTGGTGGATACCTGAGACGTCCTGTGGTGATATCTCTCAGATAGTGGTTGGCAAACACCATATCGGATCTCCAGAAATAACCCTCCATTATTTCAATAGCATTTGTGTAGAGCAATGTAGATGTTAGCGCTCTAATATCATGAGGATTAGAAGCTCATGGAGGGTCGATCCTGCAGTCTTGTAGGCACGTGAGTATGACAGTTCTGATCCAAAAGGAGATAGTAGTGCGTGAGACTTCCGTCTGCATGAGCTTGATAGAGGAAATAAATCTCTTGCATTTTTCCCTCCTGTTTGGCTCGGTGGAGATATATTTTCAGTGCTCTTACTGGCCATCGTGATAGATTCATCGTATCATGGGGTCCAAGTATATCATCAAAGCGTGTTCATAAACCTCACTTGTGAGGTGTTGGAGCTATATTCAGATCCCAAGTTGGAGCGTGAAACTTCGTTTTGATCCTCCAATCGAGAAAGCTCAGTAGCAAGGCGAGTAACTGGGTTAGGTTAACTTGGCCCGTTCTCAGTTATGATAGAGCTATTGCTGCAAGATAGGTGGACAAGTTGAGCCTTATAAAATCTTAGTCTGGCGTAGATAACATAAGTAGTCCGCCACTTGAGGATGAGTAGCATATCTAGCTGTAAATCCTTCCTTTGCAGCATAATTGACAAACTGTGCCATTTGTCATCATTATAAGTTGCCAGTTGAGTAGCATAGGGCAAGCTAGACTGCTTTGCGCTCTGGCTGAATAACTTGTTATTCAGACGCGCTATGATACAATCAAAGCGTGAAGTTGGAATATATCTGGCTTTCCGTGCTTGTTTGATGTCTTGGATGTATTAACAGATTCGAGCACTCTGTAAGATGTAGTATTGGTTGTCCGATTTCTTGAATAAGAGTTGGAAACCACGTTCTACCGCTGGTCAGTAGGCGTGACCAAATTCAGATGGAGGCTCTGCTTTTGACTGATTTTGAGTAAACTTGTGAGATTAACGCTGGTGGCGGAAAAGCGTCGCAGCGTTGAGTCCTTCCCACGATATGCTTAGAGTGCGTCTGTTGCCAATGCTAGTGGGTCTGGAACTGGCGATCTTAATGTTGTCAGTTGTTTGTTGAATCGAGTGGTAAATAGGTCTATTAGTGTAGTTCCTATTTCCTTGATAATTTAGTGAATATCTCTGTATGGAGCATTCATTCTGTCGGTGATAGTATGTGTGGCGAGAGAAGGCGTCTGCTATCACATTCTTTGCTCCTGGAATGTGATATGCTCTGACATGTATGTTGAGATTGTCGATTAAATCGAACAATTGAAAACAAGAGTCGATATGTTCGGGGACCTGGTTGAGCTTAGTTTGTTCACATAAAAGCGCCACTGTCGAATTGACTGTGTGAATCATCCACTGGGTATACTGTAGTAAGTTGCTCCAGTGCATTAAGCGTTTATTACTGCTTGCATCTCTAGCAGATTTATGTGTAATTTGTTCTCTTGATTGCTCATAGCCCTGATGCCGTCCTGTTGGCAAGATGGGCTCCCCAACCTTATAGTGACACATCTAGAGAAAGTGTTATCGATTCCAGCTCTATTAACGAGGCAGCCTATTCAAACATTGATCTCTTGGTCCACCATAGTAGATGAGGTTTGACCTGAACCGGTGAATTGAGCGGTAGAGATTACGTCTAGATGCGGAATTGATGATGACTTGTAACGGATGTAATTGTAGTCTGCCTCTGCCTGTCATGTCTTGAGCTGAAGTGCGTAACCCCAACAGACTCTGTCACTGTTGTAGTGGTAGCGAGGAGATAGTAAGGCTTGTGGAAATGACTGTTGGATCTTGATCCATGGTTCTCGGTACAATTATCGATTCTGCGCCGTTACAAATCAAAACCTAGAATTAGCAGATCTTGCGAAGGTTCTAGGTCCAACTTAGTAGGTTTACTAACCATCTAGTTGTGTTAGTAGCTTGATGATGAATTCAACTGTAGTCTGAGGCGCTATGGATTTGGATCCATTTGTATCCCGTCGTCCGAGGTAAATTAAACTGCAAAGTGCTTGACGATGTAGGTGCATAACCAGGGGTGACTGCCATCGTTGAACTTTTATGTAAAAATCAGCCTGACTGCCGTGCCTCATCCCTACTTTGACAGGGGAGGTCTGTAACCTCAAGAAGGCAGCCCAATCATGAAGGTTCAGATTAGCTGGACTGTAAGGAGGCTTGCTCTGCTTCACTGATATATTGTTGTCACTTGCAACTTATGTGTTGAACTGTGAACTATGATCGACCTCTGCGTGGGCGTTGTCCATCTCGGTCCAATCAGAACAAGGCATTTTGATTCTGTAGAGTACCCGTGCTGTGATGTCACCGTGTAGCAGGAAAAGGAACCTTGTATAATATAGTGCGTCTGCTGATATTAGAACAATCGTCGGTCTTCACCGTGAGCTTCCGAAGTTACCCGAAAGACCCACGTGTTTCGAGGGTTGATGGTAAACGCTGAAACCTCCGGTGAAATACCTAAAGCTCTGTAATATTAATGCTGGGTAGGTTATTTTCCAGGCTGTCGCGAAAGTAGCTTCAGTCTTGAAGATAATTCGACTTCCTTATATAAGGTTCAATAAACCTTGCAAGTTGTCAGCTTGTAGACTGTTAAAGCTGAACTTGTTGTACATATTTCTTCTCAGAAATCATTGACGATTATGAGTTTTACTTTCGTTGTAACAAGGCTGCTGTTCAATTTCGTTATTGAATTGTCTGCAGATCTGCGTAATGGTCACGCATGTAGATAATCGTATCGTCGTAGGTAGGTAGTTTGAAGATCCTTAATTAGGCTCTTCATCTGTTGATAAATTAATACAGCGGCGTTCTGTGTTGTAAATAGCCTGTGCAATTGTCTTAGCGTAGGCTTGTAGGCGGCATATGGCTTACAGTTGATAGACAACTCATGCGATGTCTTGAACGGACTGGCGAGTGGCTATATATGACGAGTGGCTAGTATATGGAGACCTTGGAGGAGACTTCCTCGGCGACGCCGGATTCTTCCACGAAAGATCTCGGCAACGCTTCTAGATCTTCTGGGTGAAGTAGACTTGGAGCCACTTAGCCTTCGCCTTCGCGGAAAGTATCGAGTCAGAGTCCCGATCAATATATGAGCTTGCTTCGCTTGTGAATCGACCTCTGTGTTCTACAGGGTGTGGGCTCGGAGCTCCATAACTCAATATATGGCTTGCTTGCCATGAATCGACCTCTGTGTTCTACAGGGTGTGGGCAGCTGACGGCGCTCCTTCTCCGCGATGTCCCTCGCAACTAGTGAGGCTCTAGCTCCTTCGCGGGAGGCTGCCTGGGACTTCCTTAGCGAAGTGTTAAGCTCTGGGCTGGAGTTGCCCTTCGCGGGAGCGCCTGTGGGCTCAAAGGCCCTCACGCGATGCCAAGGCGGGCTCTAAGGCCCTGTATGACTTAGTATGGGGTGGGCTCTGAGGCCCGTGGCTCTGAGCCTCTGTAAGCCGTGACGGTCTTCCATCAGCCTCATGATTTGGTTGACCAGGTGCGTCCTGGGATGGTCTGCGCTGGCGTTGAGGGTGTCCTCTCTGTGATAGTGACGAGACCCTCAGTTATAATCTCCGGCGTCCAGCGTAGGCATCTCTGATTGCATGTTGATCTGCCCTGAAGTGACGGTAGCCGATACTGGTCACTTCTTATGACATACATCTGGAATGATAATCGAAATGTCATCATCATATAAAACATAATTCTGAATATCAGAAGCAAAGTTTTTAGTAGCCTTACGTGGATTTCCCTTTGACGAGGCTGTAGACCTGGGGTTCGAGCGCACGTTGAGACGACGTGGAAGTTCTTCTAGTTTTAGACTGTGATGAAGGAACGTCCTGGGAAGCAGGTCGCTTCTAGGATATAGCGGACTGCGTCCCCACGCTTATCCCCTGAAGGTAACTCAGGATATATCTGACTCCGATCTATTAGCCATGACTGAAGATTGTTTCCGAGATTTATCTGCCTTCCGTCTCAAAACGGAACATAAATATTTATCAAAGGCAGAAATTGGTAAATTAATACATAATTTACAACGAGAAACAATAGAACATGGAGTAATGCAACTAGGGCATTTTAAATGTGGATCGGTAGCAGAGTAACGTAATTTACAAACAGTGCAGATTTTTATTAACATGAAACTGCTGAGAAAACACGCCGAACCGTGAATCAAGCAGCAGAAACCGCGAATAATTATCAATGCATGTTGAATAATGATACTAGTTACACCTCTATAGATGAATATAAGAGGTAACAAACTAAATATAAATAAAGGATATAGTGTGCAGGGAGACACAGGTGCTCTCACGCCTTGCTCACTGGGCTTAAGAAGGAGAGAGTGAGGCACATGGGTTCGGGTGGCGCCCTCGTTCACGCGCTTGTGGAAGGGAGGTAACTCGTGGTGGGTACTAATGAGTGATTTTTTATTGAAGGGAACTTCAATTGGGAGATACAAGTGTTCCACTAGGTTCGCAAGAAGAAGAAGACAAGCAATAAGCATGAGTCAGGATAAGGAAAAATAAGAATCTTTAGTTTGAAAGCAGTATCTAATTCTTTACCATGCACAGTTTGTTCTGCTCTTTATTCGTGCCATTTTTCATCCCCAAAAGTATGTACTTGGTTCCATTCAACCACATAATGTTGGCAGTGACTACAGTAAGGCTGTGTCAAGAAGAGAACCAAGAACTGTAGCCACAATGATTGTGGACCAGGGTCCCAGAAACAGTCCAGTGGTTGCCTACCTTGATCAGCAGCTCCAAGTACTGGTGTATCAGCCGCTCACTGCCCTCTGCTGGCAGGTCTTCCAGTGACACCGCCTCCTTACATGTCGTCAACATCTTGCGAGCACAGAGGAAAGGTCAACAACAATGATATAAACACCATAACACTCTCTAAATGCTCTCTATTTCAGAAACATCAAACAACTTCAGACACCAATAGGTGATCACTGTGTACTTTTGATCCGAGTCCTTTTTCACTACTTCAAATCCAAACCACTGGGCCAATGCCTCAGAGGTCAAACATAAATTATAACTGCAAAAGTACATCATTCTTACACAATCCCTACAAGAATGGATATGAAGCTCTATTAATCAAAGTGTAGTTTCCTTATCAGTACTACAATATGGGCAGTTTACCTAACTGAAATTTGCCATCAGACTCTGACATCTTTATTTCACTTTATTAGAGAAAGGATGAATAAATCCCTGAGAAAAGCACAGCAAGAGCAGTGTCTGGAATCTACACAATAACTATTGTACTGACCAGTTTCTGATATTCAGCAGAGAGAGTCTTCTGACTGTGTAGGATATCAAACAGGGACATGAGTGTGTTCATCCGCTGCTGTCCTCCCACGTCGCCTGACAGCACACGCTGGTACATGCTCACAGCCTGCAGGAAGATACCAGTTACAAGGGATGACTGAGTGATGTCATAACATATAAACACCATATAAACAAGCCTCATGTATATCCACCAATAACTGTCATATGCCTGTTATACCTATTTAGTAGTGAGTGAGTGAGTTTAGTTTTACGCCGCACTCAGCAATATTCCAGCTATATGGTGGCGGTCTGTAAATAATTGAGTCTGGACCAGACAATCCAGTGATCAACAGCATGAGCATCGATCTACACAATTGGGATACAATGACATCCTATTTAGTAATGACACCAAGATATGTTTGAATCTAAGTATGCTAATTAGATTCTGATTACTTAAACCATCACACATCTTTAAATTACTTAAAATTTTTGCAAAGAGATGAATGCAGAAGGCAAGAGTAGTCGAAAGACCATGAAAAACACTGACTTTGAAATGAATGTTTAGTTAATATAAGGGTAATGCTATTTTTGAGGGCATTATCATTTGCAGAAGCCTGAGGTCTTCCATTAACTGCCCGACGAAAGAACGCAGTTGAAAATGACCGAGGGCTTCTGCAAATGATAATGCCCTCAAAAATAGCATTACCGTTATTATTGCTAAAATACATGGAATTTGTGTTGAAAAGAAAAAGGAAACAATGATGTAATTTTTGGAGTAAAATTGATATTTTATACTTATCCTGACTCATGCTCTTTTGCTTGTCTTCTTCTTCTTGCGAACATAGTGGAACACTTGTATCTCCTTATTTGAAGCTCCCTTCAAAATAAAATCACTAATTGGTACTCACCACGAGTTGCTTCCCTTTGTCTCCCCTGGCGGGAAAAGGTGTCGCCACCTTCTGCCCATGTGCTTCACTCTCTCCTGATTTTGCGAGCCCAACACTTGGACTTACAGGGAAATCCAAAGTGTTATGTGGGGAGGATGGGAGGGCTAACCTCATGAGTCAGGATAAGTATAAAATATCAATTTTACTCCAAAAATTACATATTTTTCCTTATCCTGACTCATGCTCTTTTGCTTGTAGCATCCTACGGAACGGAGGTGGGAGTAACAGAATACTTTGGATTTATAATTAGTGATTTTGTATAGATATACTGTAATATCCCCTACGGGAACTTCATGAAGGCTTAGATTTAGGATGTTTCCTGTATAAAAAACCATAGGTTATATAAAGCCATTAAAGGGGAATTACATTATGAATATATTGAACAATACATATAATATATATATATATATAGGTGACTCTGATAGAGGCACTGAAATTGAATATATCAAAAGTATATGCTTAAGGTTGAATAACTTAAGCTGAACATATATACATAGCCCTAAAACTCCGTAGAGTTATAAGCTAGATAAGTATGTATAAAATACATATTAATCTTGTGAGGATAATATTTAACGCCTACGAGGGACTGTCAGTTGCTGAGCGAGGACCAGTGGTCCGAAATGGTGAATGCCAGAGACATCTTCTGTAGTGATGTCTCTCAGGTAGTGATTAGCAAATACCATGTTAGATTTCCAATAGCATCCTTCCATAATCGTGTTCAAGGAACAGTTACGTGTAGAGGCGAGGGTGGAGGCCAGTGCCCTGATCTCATGTGGATTTGATGCTGTTGGTGGGTCCAAGCCTGCTGCCTTGTAGGCACGGGAGAATGACAGTCCTTATCCAAATAGATATTGTGGTCCGTTGACACTTCTGTTTGATTAAGTAGGCGATAAGGGGATGAATAAGCGTTTGAGAAATCTTCTCCTTGTTTTGGATTGTCGTTAATAAACTTTGGCTCTTACTGGACACAGTGATAGGTCTTGTGTATCTTGTGATCGAGAATAGAGGATAAGCGCCGGGATGTGGAATAATCTGTCTGGTTGACCTGGCAGTTGATTTTTAGCGATGAAATCCCATCTTAATCCGAGGAATTAAGCTGTGTTATGATTGTCATCAAACTGTATCCTCTCGTAATCCAGGCGTGAATTTCAGACATTCTTGCTGCCGTGGCTAGAGATAGCAGAAACAGTGTTTTCTGTGAGAGAAATTCAAAAGTTGTTGATTCCAAAGGTTCATAGACCTCACTTTCGTGAGGTGTTGTAACACTACATTCAGATCCCAAGCTGGAAGTGGAACTTCCGCTTTTGGTCCTCAATCGGAATGCTTTCGTAGTAAAGGCCAGTAACTCTGGAGATCTTGTCAATTTGACACCCGTTCTCATGGTGATTACAGAACTAAAGCGGCAAGATATGTTGATATCGTTGAACCTTTTAAATGTTTGTTTTGGGCAGGTAACACAAATAGTCTGCCACTTGAGGTTGTGAAGCCTCTCTTGCTGTAAAACCTTTCTTTGCTGCATAATTTTGAAACTGTGCCACTTGTCGTCGTACAAGTTACGAGTTGAGTAGCGTAAAGGCAAAAGCGTGACTGCTTTTGCCGCCCTGGCAGAATATCCTCTCTTGTTTAAACACATTTGTATACAGTCCATACGTGTAGTTGGAACATTGCTGGGTTTCCGTGCACTTGTTTGGTGTGAGGATGAATTAACAGGTTTCTTGCGCTTGGGTAGCTCCAGTGCTGGTTGACCGATTTCTTGAATTAGTGTGGGAAACCACGTTCTGGCCGACCAGTAGAGTGACGACCAAAGTGAGTTGTAGGCTCTGTGTTTGTCTGATTTTCTGTAATACTTGAGGTATTATTGCTGGCGGCGGAAGCAGCGATGCGCGTTGAGGCCTTCCATGATAGACTTAAATCCGTTGCCCAAGCTTGGGGTCTGGGACTGGTGACCGCGAATGTCGGTAGCTGATTGTTGAATCAGCGTGGCGAATAGGTCTATTAGCGGCTCCTAATTGCTTGATTATCTGTGCAAATATTTCCCTGTTGATCATCCACTCTGTCGGTGATGGTAGATGAGGCCGAGAGAAGCGTCTGCTAGTATATTTCTGGCTCGGGGAATGTGCACTGCTCTGACATGTAGATTTAGATCTTGTATTAAATCGAACAGTTGAAAGCTTAGGTTCAAAAGGTTCATCGATCTCGTTGAGCCTTGCTTGTTTATGTAGAAGCGCCACTGTCGAATTGTCTGTATGGATCATTAGATCGCATTTTGTAGAAATGTGCTCCAATGTAGAATGGCGTTGATTACAGCTTTCATTTCTAGACTGTTTATATGGAGTTTGCATTCTTGCTGATTCCATAATCCTGATATCGTGTGGTTGGTGAGATGAGCTCCCCAACCTTGGAGTGTAGCGATCTACATACAGATGGGTTTTGTATTCCTGCTCTGCTAAACAAATCCCTTCGCAGACATTCGATTTCTTGGTCCACCATAGTAGATGAGGTCTGAGATGTTTGGTAGACTGAATGGTTGTACATCGTTGAGATGTCGTTGATGAGACCTGTAGGGGCGTAACTGTAATCTGCCTGTGACAGTCATGTCTTGGGCTGATGTGAGAAGACCTAGTAGGCTCTGCCATTGTCGAAGTGGTAGCGGAGAGAGTAGAGCTGGTGGAATGGTCTGTTGTATCTTGAATAGCGGTCTTCTGGTACCATAATACGGTTGCGATTTGTGATGAATCGAATACCTAGGAACTGCAGGTCTTGCGATGGTACTAGGTCCGACTTGCGTAAGTTTACTAACCAACCTAGTTGTGTTAGTAGCTTTATGATGTAATTTAACTGTAGTTTGAGGCGCTGTGGATCTTGATCTACTTGTATCCCGTCGTCGAGGTAAAGCGCACTCGCATGCCCTTGGCGATGTAGAAATATGATAATCGGTTTAAGTTATCCTCGTTGAATAGCCAGGGGCTGATGATATTCGAATGGGAGTACTTTCCACTGGTAATGTAGCCCTTCTAGAGTAAATCGTGGGGTATTTCCTGGAATCGGGATGAATGGGGATGTGCAGGTAGGCATCCTGTAGATCTATGCTGCCCATGTAGTCCATAGGGCCGAATCATCTGGCGTAACTGAGGTAAATGTATCATCTGAAACTTAGGTGGTTTGCGTAGATAATTCTTGTTGAAAAAGCTCATGTTGTAGATGAGTCTGTATTTCTCCGTGGAGTTTTTCTTGGGAACTAGGAAAACTGGGGAGTAGAAACCTGGTTCGGCGTTTGCTTGATCTATTACTTCTATGGCCTGTTTGGATAGGAGTGATGAAACAGCCTCTCTTATCTTTGGTAGTTGTTAAGCTTATAAATCCGAACTTGGGGGGTTTGATTGTCAGCGGAGGCTTGGCCTGTAGTGGGATCTGAAATCCGTGTTGAAGAATGTTGGAGGCGTAAGGGTCTTGCAATATTCCCCAGTTTTCCCAGTGTAGTTGGAGAAGTCCACCCACTTGTGCTGGCTGTACTGGAGCGGCTGGGGTGGAAGACTCCAGTGGTTCGAACCTGTGTTTCAGCGTCTATAGTTAGCGGGAACCTCTGGGTGTCCTGCCTCTTCCTGATCCTCCTCTATAGTTGCCATATGGGCGACGAAAAGAATCTTACCTCTAGAGCTGGCTATCTTCCTGTCTCTTGCTCTTTGTAGGCCCGTGAACTTAGATCTGCCTGAGTATCTTTGTGAAGTCTGACGAATGGCGGCTGGCTAGTGTGTCCATCGATTTAATCATAAGGACTTCCCTGGAATCCTTAGAGACTTCCTTAGCGACTTTGTCGATTTCTCCGTCAAAGATGGATGTTGTCGAACCACGGGGCTGTATAAAGTGGGGCTGTAAAGTTCTCCCCAATTACAGGAAGCGAGGAGGCCTTGGCGGCGAGCTAAGGTCGAATGCTGCTGAAACAGATGTAAGATGATCCGTTAAAACTGCTGATCTTTCTTTTGCATAAGTAAGGCAGAATAAATCATTCTATCATCTTCCGTCGTGGAATCGGAATCTAGTAATAAGAGTCTCATTGATCGTCCTAGATCTATTTAACCCAAAGAACATCGTCTCCGTCATGGTTTCTATATGAGCCAACTTGCGATCATCCATCTTGTAAATCTTGTTCTTTACATAAGCTGATGATCTTATAGTTCTCATCGATGTCCTGGGCTTTGTAGAAGGAGTCCATGTTATCGTGGAGAACTTCTTGGCATGAAAGTTGGGCAGATGTGGTGTCTGAACTTTCGTAGCTTTCTGGAAAGCTGCATCTAGATTCTGTGGCACTGCCTTAATCGGATCGATCGGGGGTAGAGTGATTGCATCTGGATCGTCTTCCTTCATCAAATACGTCTGGCTGTATTGCCACTTATAGATGGTGATGTGAGATCTAGGTTATTGACCATCCAATACCGTATCTCTGCATCAGAAAATATGATTCCTCCATCATCCTCAAAACCATCATCATTAACAAATTGTAGATGCTCTTCGGGACTGCGTGTAGCTGTCTGTATATCTGATGAGGTTTGTGGCGATCTAGTTGACTTGTGCGCCGCTCTATGAGGAGATCTGACGGGTGATCGACCTGGTGATGAACGAAGTGGAGATCGTCTATGGGATGATCTTCTCGGAGACTTGTGAGGTGAGCGTTGATAGCTTCATGAAGAAGCTCTTCTATAGTCCCTCGATGTTCTTCTAGATGATGAGGATCTGGAATCATATGTCCTTCGAATGCCTTCCGGAAGCTTCATTTATGTCGGTCCGAGGATTGATGATATGACCTTCGCGAAGGCCTCCGTGATGTCTGATGGTCCGAGTCCATATCTAGAGATGAAATCGAAGATGGTGATGATCTATCCCGCCTTGTTGCCTTCGCGAAGGCTGTACATCTAGGTCCTTCGTCAGGGTGGTCCGGGACTTCCTTCGCGAAGGTGACATCGTCTTGGCTGCTACGTTGACGGGGGGTGCCTCTGGGGTGCTGTCTACGTTGGAGCCTTCACGAAGGCTCGGACCCTGCTTCTGCAGTTTGTAGTGGTCCTCCATGATGTTCATCATCTGCCGCATCATGTCTTCTGGGATGATCTGTGACGAAGTCGGCGTCTTCTCTGCGATGGGGTTCACATCAATAACGTCTGACGTCGGTGTAGAGGCATCAGGCTGCATGGTGATCTCTGCAGAAGTCACAGTCGCTGACACCGGTCGCTTCTTCTGCCGTAAGTCGGGGATGATTATCGGCTGATCATCGTAGAGACCCAATTCTGCTGCTGGAACGATCTCGGCTGAGAAAGTTCTCGCTGTCTTCGTAGATTTTCCTTTGGAAGTCTGCGCTGCCCTGGGTGTCCTCAATCTGCGTTGAGACGACGATGAGGCCCTCTTAGACTTGGTCTGCAAAGACGGGATGTCTGGGGAGGCCGGTCGTTTCTTCGAGGTAACGGACTGCGTCCCGTTCCTCTACCGCAGGGGTCTCTAGCAGAACACCAGGCGGGAGAGGGTCGATCGCTAGCAGCTGACTGGATGGAATATCTGGACTCTCTGCCATGTTTTGCCCTTGTTTTGCGTGATCTATCTGCAGCACGTCTTAAAGACCTTAAAGATGATATTTATTAAATGCAGAAAGAGATAAATTAATGCAGTAACTGCAAGCGTGAATTAAACGCATTACAGTAGAACAACTAGGGCATATTACATGTGGATGGGAGGCAGAAAAGCGTAATCTACAAATCGTACAGATTTTCATCAGCGTAAAGCTAGCTGAACAATCCGAATACACGTGAATAAACAGTAGAAATCACGATAATTAATCAATACAAATAGTAAAGGATACTAGCTATACCTCTATAGTAACCTATGAGGAGGTAAAACTAAGAGATTATCAAAGGATATGGTGTGTAAGGAGACACGAGGCGCTCTCACATCCTGCTCACTGGGCGAAGAAGGAGAGAGTGAAGCACATGGGCAGAAGGTGGCGACACCTTTTCCCGCCAGGGGAGACAAAGGGAAGCAACTCGTGGTGAGTACCAATTAGTGATTTTATTTTGAAGGGAGCTTCAAATAAGGAGATACAAGTGTTCCACTATGTTCGCAAGAAGAAGAAGACAAACAAAAGAGCATGAGTCAGGATAAGGAAAAATAAGGAATTTAGACTGTAAGATTACTCAAAACCAACTTCTGATGGGGTTGACTGCCCAAATGCAATTACGCCAACGAACAATTCAAGTGAGGTCACAACAAAAAGTGATGATATTCGACCTTGGCCTTTGACAAGACCATAGCCTGCAACATGTCAAACTATGTCAGTGTTCGGTTTTGATCATACAACAACATTAATAGTGCAATTGTTAAGGTTAGCACCAGCAAGAAAGCCAATATTACTGCTATTTAAAGCGGCAATTCGGGTTGCTTTGACTTGTTTGACCCAGAATATCTGCCAGTCCAAAGCCAATGTCGAATGAACTGTAAGCCCACGCACCCACTATGACGTCACTTGACAACAGAACAGATAGTGGCCCGTCGTTAAGGTTGAGCGGTCCAATATCATTTGCAGCGGCCCGCAAATTTCTGATAATGGGAGGGCCGTTTCATGATAATTCCATGTATTTTAGCTATAATGCATTATAAAGCCTCTACCTCGTCCACATTCCCCAGCTTCCCCTGAAGCTTGGCTAGTTTCCTCCCAATGTCCAGCATCTTCTCCTTGTCACTGATGGAGGAAAACACAAAGATTGTCTCTAGACAAACATGAACTCTGAATTAAATGAGTTTATCCACACCCAGCCAGTCAATATAAATTATACAATTATCAAGAATTTTGTTGAATACATATTTGGTAACATATTTCTGCTAGTCTTATTATTGTCCTACCTTTCCTGCAGAGACATCAGCTTCTTGTAAACACTTGCCAGGTCCACATCATTGTCTGGAGATGGGTTCTTTTCATAAAACCCACACAGGCCCTGTAAGTCAACCAAGGCTATAAAATGGACACGGTAGTATGATTAGGCTGCACAGGAAAAAGGATTTCTCTAAAGTAAGTTGGGGAAGTAGGATTTGTTATTGTTATTTATTGAAAATAGGAATGATATGGGAGTAACACTTTTATTATTATTTGAAAAATATGCTTATATCTATCTTTAAATTTACTGCACACAGCAATAGGTATTAAAGCATTTCTTATTCATAACTCAAACACACTAATACATTAGGATGTCACCTTCTTTGATCAAGTCCTTTCCCAATCTAAGCAGACCACCATTTACGTACCTGCCATGCTAGAATCTGCTCTGGCGCTGCATCTATGGCTTTTTTGTAAGCCTTCAGTGCCTGATCAGCCTGCTCTAGACCCTCAGCAGCCACACCCACAAACACCAGGGCATTGTAGTTAGTCTTGTCACTAGCCAGCACAGACTGAAATATATGGGAAGATACCTTAACTGAGGGGCTTTCATTAGTTGGTGGAAAAAGACAACACATCTTATAACACAATATCTTGGTTTTTTTCTCTGTAGGGCATGTTATTTTTCTGTGGGACAGTCCTGTGGCCTACTAAAACATCACACTTGTAGAGTTCTATATGACATATCCATTCACCTTGCAATGTCGGAGAGCTTCCTTGAATTCTTTGCTCCGAATTGCTTCCCTTGCATTCTTCAGAGCATTCTTTACTTCCTTGGAATCCATTCTCTGTATATTCCAAATTACCGTGCACCGAGATTATGCAGCAACATCAGTCTCCCTAGAACCATGGAAACAGGATTCATCAGCAAGGCATAATTTGATACTTATATAAGCAAAGATGTCATTATGTTAGTACAGACATATACCTGATATTAGATCAACGCTTAGTCTCTGAATACATATAATTTTGATTGTAAGAATAAACCTATTTAAAGTGAAATGGAGCCCTAGTGAGAACGGAAATTCTGAACCGGAGGAAATCTAGACTTGTTTCATTTAAGGCTTTAGCATTGCACAGAGAGCGAGGCAGTAGGGAAAATATTGTGGATATATGCCACATTTGATCTTTATACCTGCACTTTGCATATTTGTACAATAGCACTTGAAACAAATAGTGAAAATATTGACAGGTTTTTCATAAAATGATGTTTTTCTCCACAAGTATATTACATCAATTCAACCTGCATATGTCCAAAGGTTATTATTGTTTATCTCACGATGTGAACTGGCTGTTTAACGTTGCCAATGGTAAACTTGTCAAACAAAATACTCATAATCATATATATGTTCTGAGCAAAGACTACTCTATCTGCGCGGTTAGGTTTCACTTTCAGTTTCCAGTGATTTACATCTTCTTGTGATCGTGTCATATGTTTCTCGGTCGATATGTGTTTTGTGGAAGCACAGCGTTTTCACAAGGTTTGGTTTACGAGCGACGTGTACTGTAAATGTAAATAACGTGTATATTTAACCCACAAGTCTCATGCCAGAACTGTCACGCTCTTCGTGGCCAGATGACGCTTATTGTTATCCCACTGTCCATTGGGTCCTTCAGAAATGTTAACCAATCAGAAATGGCATAGCAAATCGCGTCGGATAGTGATGTAAACTTCCGGTCCACATGGTGAGGTGGAGACATATTCTGTTTTCTCAAGATAATCTCAAATCAACCTGGTAATTATGTTTTTGTTTACTTGGAAAATGATTTTTCAATCACACACCACACCTTACAAGTTACATAAATTGTGAAGAGTAATTTATTTTGTATTTTATCTGTAATCATCGTGGGGATTGGGCTGTGGCCTACTCGATCTGCCAATACGGTCTAAACTTTCCTACTCCATCTGCCCATAGGACGTACCTATACCTACTCAAGTGATCCAGTTTCAAGGTTCTATGTGTGTACTCCAGTCTGTAGGCCTTGCTCCAGTTTGTTAAAGACCAATTCTCTCTGCAGAGGTCTCTGATGGGTTATGTTGGCCGAGTTGCCCACGGCACAGTAATTCACAGTTCAGATTTATGTCTCTTGCCAAGAGTCTTGGGCACACCAGGATCCTATGACTGCGGGTTGGAATCGTGGTCCACCCTACATTTCTAGGTTTTTGAGCACCATACCCATTCTTTTGGGTTTTGTCAGTGGTAAGCATCTAAGCTGACACAGTGTGATATAAGTGGAATGCTGTTCAAAGTGGCATTAAAAACACAACTCACTCTCTCTGCAGTCAGTGATACTGATAGGCGAGGTATCATTTACCCCACCTTTCTCTATGTAGTTTTGTGTCATCTACTGATAATAATAATAATGTTAGCAAGTAAAAATGATTTTTGTATGTGATTACTGGAACGAAAAATATATACTGCCTTTTTTGGATGGTTATGGTTACACTAAAAAAGGGAGATGGGGCATTTATTTCTGTAGGCTCAGCATGTTATTCTCTGAAATTAGACCAAATTCAGGTGCGGTGGTCAGTTTAATTAAAATATTCATGTTATTTGTCAAGTTCAGCATGATGTTGTGTTTGTTTTACATTTGATGGTTTCAGATCATGACACGCTTTGCAAGAGCCGGTAATGCTAACAAGAAAATCCCACATGATGGCACACAGTGGAAGGACATGTTTGGTAGTGGTAGTGAATCCAAAAAGAACTCAGACAGTGCACCAAAAGAAGGAGATAAACGTGACAAAAAATTCAAAAAGGATAAAATGAACAAAACACAAGGAAATAAACATGATAAAAAAACCAAGAAATTCAAGAAGGATAAAATGAATAAAAAAGTGAAAGGCATTGAAAGAAATAAAAATAAGGTTGATGAGCCAAAGCCATGGCAACTTGACAGTACGTCTGGTGATAAGACAAAGGAACGAGCCATGAGAAATCAGTTCTTCAGGGATCAGAGAAGGGAACAAAGGCGAGTGCAGAGGAAGGATGACAGAGACAGATTTCTGGTAAGAGTTGTTGGTGCAAGGTGTGTAATTGTTTTCATTTTGCATGTTTTATAAACAACTGGGGCTGTAATTTGTTGTTTTTCAATGATGTCATAATAGGAAACTACCAACCTTCCACCCTTTAAAGGACTCCTTTTTCAGGCTGCACTATAGAAAATGGAATTCAGTTTCTACTGTATATTCTACTGTCAGGTCAAACCAGTACACAAATGGTATGCAGCAAAGATTACCATATATAGGGCCTGGTCACATTTCTTTATAAAATGTGTAAACACACAGCGTTAATATGGAATGGCATTTATAATATCCCCATGAAGTTATTTTGATGATTTCACAAATTTGAATTGAATATTTCACATTTTAGATTGAAACAATGAAAGAACAAATTGCTTTGCAAATACACATTAAGCCAAAATCACTATTTCTTAATTACCAAATGTTTTCAGTTGTATATAATCCAAGGTATTTACAGATGTCATCCCCACTGTCAAGAACTGAAAAAAACATTCTGAAAATTTTGTTGTGTTCTTTATCATGTTTGTCAGAAACAATTACCGTACTACCAGTATTTACAATGTTGTTGCAACATTCCAAGCCATCTTAGGTACTTTTAGTCTTTGAACTAAATTCTTCACTGGACAAACAATTCCAAAATTTCCTGGAATGTCAGTTCCATCATCTGTGCACTACTGTAGATGTGTTGTGTCTCCTGTCTAGGTGTGTTTCAACTGCCGGAAGCATGGTCATCGGATGGGGGACTGCCCCCTGGTAAAGGGCTCCAGCACTCATGGCACTGGAGTCTGCTTCAAATGTGGCTCCACGGAGCATGTGTCAAGTGCATGTTCCGCTAAAGTAGCACCAGGTAGGACTCTTGGGATTCCTTTTGAAAATGGAATTTTTTATTTGATGGGATTTTTTATGCCTGCAGCATATTTTACAATGGGCATGTCTCCTAATCTGTCCATAATGTTTGCTTGAATTAACAATGATTTATATTGTAAATGTTTACTTTACTGTGATTTCTGTATCAAGTATCATGCTAAGAAATTGACAAAGAGGTTTGCTTGTTAAAACCATACAAGGTAAATTTGATGTCAGACTGATAGAAAACAGAAAACAGTCATATCCTTGCTAAGGCTGAAGAAATGGGGCTTATAAAGATTATTTACAATTTGGTTACCGTTAAAGTGCTTATAGTGGTGGACACTTGACATAGCAAATATGGCAAGCGTCCTTGTGCTTAGGCAAGTGTGCTTATGACTTTAAAAATTTTGTTAAAAGTCACTTGCCGAAAGTAACTTGTCCTGACTAATTTTCCACTTGCCCTGATTTTATGAAATAATCATGATGATGTAATTATGAAAGAATAAATCAACATCATGATGGTATTTGATGTTAATGTTTACTGGACTATTTATTGAAAAGTGATAAATAGCAAAGAAAGATAACTCTACTTTATTATCATTGCGAAATTTAATAGCTACATTTTGAGCAGATATGAAATTAAATCCAAGTTTATTTGCAGTTTGAAACCATAAGTGGAAATTATCTAGTAGCCCACGGACAAGTAAGATACCATTATTTGATTGCCCGAAATGAAAACTGACTTGTCCCAGGCATCGGGAGATGGGATTTTTGAACCCCTGTTAAATATATTAGTACGATACATAGGTAACAATATGTATCGTGATACACATATTCACATGAAAACACAGGAAATTCTTGACTTTTAATATTTCAGAGCAGGTTCAAATAGACTATACATTGTGGAGACATGGTCATGGCAGCTATTTTAGTTGTAATGAACATAAAAGACTAAGTAGCAGAGTATTTAATTTACATTTTCTCCATATATACTATGTATCTGTTGATTGTCTTCTCACCTAATTGTCATGTGTTATTTTCTCATACAAGGTAGTTGTTTCAATGTACTCAGCATTGTTTCCCCTATAGTTTAGGCTAGTCTGTCACGGCTGTTGTTGTTGTTCCAGGGGAATTCCCCTTCGCGAAGTGCTTCATCTGTGGAGAGATGGGCCACATCACCAGACAGTGTCCAGACAACCCAAGGGGCCTTTATCCCAATGGTAACTAGAACACAGGCTTTATCTATTGCTCTTCCTTGTATGTGTGTCAGACTGTATGTTAGAAGTTTAAACATTGGCAGTTTGTGCATCCCTCATGACAGTTGTTTGTGGAACAACATGGATAAGGTTTTTGGCATGGTATTTTGTAACCTCAAACATTTTGTAAGTTCATAAACACAGAAGCTGATATCCTGGCAATGTTACTTTGAATTGTGAGTCATGTTATGTCTATTCTGTCAAAACATATGTGAGTGCTGAAATTTTCCTGCAGGCTGAATATCGTCGGGCTTATGTGAATATATTTCATCTGTCACAACAGAAATGTTACTTGCTACAAGATATCATCAATGAGCCCATCTCAGTGTCTATCTGATCCAAATCATTCATCTGGCCCAGACCTTATCTGTAGCTGTTTCAGCTAATTCTAATGTAAAACTCACTTTGGGACCTGTGAAGGTCTGGGTTAGAATTGATGTTCAGTAACCCATGCTTGTCGTAAGAGGCGACTAACAGGATCAGGTGGTCAGGCTTGCTGACTTGGTTGACACGTCATCGTATCCCAACTGAGTAGATGGATGTTCATGCTGTTGATCACTGGATTGTCTGGTCCATACTCAATTATTTACAGGCCGCCACCATATAGCTGGAATATTGCTGAGTGCGCCTAAACTAAACTCACTCACTCACTCCCACTTTGCAGCATGACCCTTGTCGATATTCACAAGGAACAAGAGACATGACATATAAATGTTGTATATCAATGTATGGTGTGATAATGATTCTCTGACCATGTAATATACCTTCTATTTCCAGGTGGATGCTGCAATGAATGTGGATCTGTGGAGCACCTGAAGAAAGACTGTCCTGATCTGCAGAAACAGAAAGGTGCTTTAGCTGGGCGTTTTTGTAAAATTCTGCTGAATGAGATTAGTGTACTATTTTCTATGTACAACTGTGGATTAAACAGGCAGTGTCCACTGCAACCTGTGGATATGTGTGCTATATAAATATCCAATAATAATAATAATAATAAACTGTATGTTTCAGGTATTGAGAGCGTGACGATAGACAAGATGAGCAACACCCAGAGTGCAGATGCTGAGTTAGAGGCATCACCACAGCCACAACCTAAGAAAAAGAAAGGTGGACAAGGTGGAAAGGTTGTCAAATTTTAATATGAAATAAAATGTTCTGGTTAAGATACCTTTTATTTGTCTGTGGAGTCTATTCAAACATTCCCAGTCTTGGATGATATTGAAATGTTATTGGCAGATGTTCTGTTTTCAAACTCACTGAAAGTTTCACATTTTCTGAAGAAAGTCATCACATACTGAACAAAGTCACAAACACATTTGTTTTGTACAAAGTTTAATAGCAGCAAGTTATTTTACAATTAAATTAAGAAAATATATAAATCCCAAGGTATAATCTGTACAATAACTTAACAGTGTGTACTCTAAGTCGGCTAATTGTTATTTGGGTTTGTAGAGGTGTAAATGATAACACATTCATATATCACACATTAACTATACACAGCAGAAGATCTGCAGTAGAGCACAACATTGTCCGATTCCTCGTTCACAAGGAGGCGCATGCTAAGAGTAGGGCACAACATTGTCAGGATCCTCATTAACAAGGAAGCACTTGCTTACAATACACCATGACATTGTCAGGTTCCTCGTTAACAAGGATGCAATCTTACAGTACAGCACAACACTGTCTGAGATCTTAGTTATCAAGGAAGCACTTGCTTAGCAGTACAGTACAACACTGTCAGGTAGTAGGCACATGCATAGCCGAACAGCACAATACAAGATTCTCAGGTTCCTAGTTAACAAGGAAATCCTTGCTTAGCAGTACAGCAAAATAGTTTTGACAAAGTCTTGATCATGGAGTATGGGTAACAAAGACTGACCCCCAGAAACTACAACACAACCAGATTTTATAACATCAAGCATCCATGATTTGGGCTGTGGGAAAGACACTCTTTTTGCAATACAACAGAAGTCACCATGAATCTGCTGAAGTATGCAAAACATGAAGGTATTTAAATTATGACGAACTAACTTGTTGAACAATTCTAAAATCACAGTCACTTACCTGTGAGAATCTGACAAAAGGACTGCCTTTCCCCAAGTCGCCATTTAGAAGAAAATATATTTACAAAATTGTACATTGCACTACTTTCAAAGAAACTGCTCAGATACAGATAATGCTCTGCTGTGTTTTGACAAAAGTGATAAAATCACGAAGACAACATCATGAGCAAGATTGGCATGGTCTATAGGAACCAAGTTCATTCCACATAGATCCAGATGTGATGAGATGATATGTATAGCACTGGTTGGTGATAAAATACACAGCGCACACTGCACTGCGCTAAAACTGACATTTCAGAATTACCAAGACACGTTTTAACATTTTTAACTTCAGATACTGGTCAGTGCATTTGGATTCTGTTAACATACATGTTTTCTCCTAATGGTAAAAACTGGGACGTGATGAGAAGACATTTCATAACAAAAATTCAGTGCTTATGTACTTTATTCATAATCAATCCTCAAATAGCCTTATTGCAGGAAACTGATGGAAAAAGAGACTCAATCATACTGCATTGTTATCAGCTTGCATAGCTCTATCGCTTATTGATATATTTTTGCTGGTCACACCATATTGCACTTTCCAGGATCAAGGAATGAATGGTATTAGTTGGGGATGTGAATTCAAGGTTTAGATTATGGACATAATGAAATATTTGAAAGTGGAGATTCATTTCCATGTGTTAGTCAACTGATGAGACAAGCTGTAAACAATTGTAACTAAACAAATCCCAATATTATGATTAAGTAGAAGCATGCATGTATAAAGGAAAATGTGTAGAGGATATGCTACAACAACTAAAATCACGTTCAAGATCAGTACCCATATATGGTAGAGGTATGTTTTTTATGACTTAACTTCATCCGAGTCACCCAAACATCAGCTGTCAGGTTTACTTGCATCTATATGAATGATAAACACCTGAACCTCTTCATATAAACATACATGTCCTACCTAAACTGGCCTAAATCAAATGGTTTTCCTGTTTTTCAAAGTTCAGTGTTAGATGACACTAACTCAAAAACTGCGATGGTTAATTCAAAACATTTGGCAGGAAAATTCAGTTGAAAGATAAATCTTATCTTCAAGTCAAATAGTCTTTGGGAGAATGTTAACGATAATTAAAAGTCTAAGGCAAATATTTTAGTTTGAAATGCTGATTATTATAAACCATTTTCTACAGCCAGGATTGATAACGGTGATTTATGAGCTGATACTCAATCAGCCATTGAAATCCCTGATGAAGTCCGTTCCTCAAGTAAAATACTGCCATTCATAGTCCTGTTTGTCTGACTGTGAGATGATATAGTTGCGTGTAAATGTATCATATTCATACAACCACAAGTAGAAAAAACAAACATAATGAAAAAATGAAATTAAATACACAATAAGATGTAAAACTGTACAATCTGATATGCAGAGGGAATATGCTAACAAAATTGTAAAGGGTATAAACAAACACATAAAGTAGATGACATGAAACAGCTTCCAAGAGAGTTGTTCCTAACACAGTAATGAGAACATAAAGACAAGTTAAAATCACTTTGTTGTATTCTTTTGTCCCAAAACTGATGGAGTAGGTGGAAAGAAAACATATTCTTCTCCAAATATTCATTATAAATAACATTTGTACACGCTGAATCAATGGATCCACATACCAAAGAATTATAACAAATTCAAAACTTCATATCACCTTATTCATATAGGTGAGGTGTATCATCATTAGTTGGGCACAATATTACTATTAATATTTAAATATTCCTTAATTATTATTTATGCTCATGATAAACAAAGAAAGCTTACTTAAGGCTGTAATAAAGAGGCTTGTGTTGTTTTCTTCTCAGGTGTATTTTTGTTTCCTTCCTGAATTCCAGAAACAGATTCCTGTTAATTTCACAGACTTGCACCCAAACCTACTTGAACTACTCACATCCAAAATACATAGGTGATTATTTCAGTCCTTAAAATACATCAGACACATGTACATGATGCTGGAGGGAAGTCTTAAGTGATGCATGTTGAGTTAAGAGTTTTACATTAACAATGTTTCTGTCATATCAGAACATGTCCATGTAATAAAGCCTGAATTGATGTAATAGCACTTTGGCTGACAAACCAAAAGATCATTATCAGGAAAAAACTGGGCTGCTAATGCAGGATCATAAGCATTCATAGGATTCTGGCTCACCTAATGGACGCAACTCTGCACAGCAAACTATGGCGCCTTACATAACTGGGCAACATATGCCACCATTCAGATATGAAAACATGATGACTGTTCACACTAAAATTAAAACAAAAAGACAGTATAACATTTCATCAGACCATCGTTATATGGTCTCTGATTTCATGATGATTCAGAGCTTCAGCCAACAGAGAAATATTATGACACTAAAGTACTGTCGGAAATAGAAAAAAAACTGTTTTTAGGCTGTTACTCTGTATCCTTAAAATTTATACAATTGCAAATAGCATCTGTCGAAATAACCCACTTCGGCCTAACTGGGCGTTCAGTGGGATGCGTAATACGATATCCAGAAAAGCATGTTTACTCGAAAAGTCAGGCAAAACTTAGAAAAAAACCGAATAGCTGCTGAAAACAATAGATCAGACTATAGATGGCAATTAGGTCGCTCAGCCAGGTATGACGACGGACTGTCGACTCACCTGGCATGAAATGCACGTGGTGCCTACAGTACAAGGGGTCATCTCAAAGATATTTTGTGCTTTTTCATGTGTGTTGACTATGTCTCATCTATTGATTAACATCTTACGTGTCTTTCTTTCATATGGTTTCATATAGTTTATGTTGAGATATGTAAAAGAGTATGATACCCGAAAACCATAGAAACGCATCGTAGTATATAGGTGGCATGACCACCCGAAGATCGACAGGACTGGATATTATTTGTAAATTGTTATGACATGCCGTGTACTTCCCCAGTATAATTTCCCTAAAGGATTATCTTATCTTAGCTGATATCTCTATCCCCAAGCCCGACCCCAGGTTTTGCTTTTGAGACGGCCCCTCCTATCTGTTTCTTTTTATAGGGACAGTGAGACTGCATGGTAGCTACATCCTTAATAGTTTCGGCATAAAAATCATTATTTTTTATGTCAGCTATCGTTTGTAATGAATCCACGTCTAATTTCAAATTGGGCATTTAAAAAGAGTCCTTTGTAATACAATATCGTCTCACACTAATTTGCATAAAGCCATGTTCTGTTCCAAATAAGTCTCTTTGGACTTAGAAAAACCTGCATTGCTCATTTCTGCACTAATTTCCCTTCAGTAAAGTCCTTTTTCTCCGTTTCCTATCTCTCTACCACCGAGACTGTAGTTAGGCCGAACTTAGTTTAACAGATATTTCACACTTTCACATATCAACTACATAAATTGTAGAGATAATTGAGAAAATACAGGTTTTTTCTATTTCCGACAGTACTTTAGTTGTTACAGTTCTGTCACTTATACACTTACAAATTCATCAACACAATGAGTTAAGGAACAAAACTTTCCCATTTCTACAAAGTTTTATAATTAGTCATAAGTAATTAACTTTGAATTGTTATTTCAAGAAGAGAAGTAGCAAGAGTTCCAACACTGAATAATCACACTATGTCAATTGCTATATATGACCATTCACTCAGTAGCGCTGAAGCCACAGGTTATCAAACACACAGTGGATATCTCCCTGATATAAACACTCGTCCCACTATGTTGTATTGCATCTGGAGTAAATACTACAAAAAGCATGTCCGTATCATTCTGGGTATGCATCAATTTACTGTACACTGCAACATTATAAAGCAAATATTGCGGATGGATATATTCACAAAGCAATGAGGAGGATCATTTTGAAACAGGTGCTTTGAAATTTCCTGCTAAGAAAAAGCTCAACACATTCAGCAATATTACACCTAATTTCAGTGCAGTGTAACATGCATGCAACTTGTTGACCTTCATCTTGGTATACACAAAAATACACATTTGACTGACACAACTTATCATATGTAAAAAAATGTCCCAGTGTTTCCACCATGATTTATTTCTGTTTGTTTGTGACCCTGACTTTATGCACTTCCTCTGACTCTCCCCTCCCCACTCCCACACTCTCCCCCTTCCTACACACTCCCCACATATTGTTCATGCCATGAAGCTGTCTCTATATCATTATGATGGCAATCCATGAACATAACACCAACTTCACCTTGTAATTGATAAAATCAACATGTGAATCCTAAACTAATCCATAAACATGGTTGACTATTAAACAAACCTCTATAACGTCTTTATCTAATCTACACCACAAGGCTCAACTGTTTACTGTGGTGTGTACCTCAGTTTGTAATAGTCTCAAACACTAAACATACTTGTGAGAATTTCCGCAATCACTACAGCTGGAATGCTTCTTTGAATAAATTATTATGTTAAAAAAACATACAAGCAATACTCAAAACAAAATATGGAAATTGTAAATGTGCGTGAATATTTGCCTCAATCAACCACGCTCATCTTTTTATCAGTTACTATCATCAAACAATCAATGACATCTAGAGATACTAATTAAAATTCAGCTCTATCAACTGCACAATGACTTCCCAGATGATGAAACCTTTAACCCTATTTCTGTCATGATTGACTTAACCCTGAAATGTACACCATCAAGTCATCTTGTACTGGCAATTTGGAGGTACAATATCATCATATAATTTGCTTCTGATACGAAACGAGAGATCATCAAATATAAGAGACACTAATATGCTTTGGGCCTGAGCTCATTTTGAGAGAGGGATTTGTGCTCAATCACCAGTTTTCACCTATTCACATCAAGATCATAAACATTATGCCTATTCATGCAGTACATCTGAGTATCTAAGTGTTCTCCAAACCACATCATATTTCCCAAAATACTTTCTACTCTTCTTTGACAATATGTCACAATGTACAGTCAGCTGCATGGAGACCTCAACACAAAACAATCAGTCAAATCTGTACAATATTTAGTGCAGTTGGAGCCATTGTAAATAGTCTAAAAAATTGTGTCAACAATACTGTTTAGTGTTGGACTAAAAAGTCCATTTTACCTATACTGAAGGACTCGATGTAATAAAATCTAAAAATGGAAAGAGCAGTGATGCCTGCATGATCACTGACAACATGTCAAAGAGTGTAAAAGTAAAAATATGACAAGTCCAATAACAAAGAAAGTGTATGAAATACACCAGACAAAGACATATAATGCTTAACACAGAAATCAGTTGGTTACAGTCCTCATTTGCACACAGCAGGAATACTGAAGTTAGAGAAACATGAGTATGTGACCCTTTGATGTAATCGTTATAGCCACACCTGTGCAGGTGTGATGACGAGCCGAACCACTTGACCACTGACCTGACCCAGACAACACCACTGGGAGGTCAGCAGGAGACACTGGGCGTTTTCCTTGTTGCTCAGCAACAGGAAGCAGGATAGAACGTCAAGCACATTAAATGATTAGGGCTGAAGAACTTCTCAAAAGTATCATTGCAATATTTGTTGTTTAAAACCAGTATCCAAAGCCAGTTGACAACGATGTACGGCTGAAGATTTTGGCTTCCATCTTTGAGTGCCTGATGTATACCTATGCTATGCACACTCATCAAAGGTCAAACTTCAGTACTCAGTATGTGGTTCTACTGCTGCACAAACACACACAGTTCCAGCCTGCATATTCTTGAACAGCTTCAACCACCCCTCTTGGGTACCAGGGATGCAACTTGCCCATGTCAGATTGTGTGACATAAAAGATATCCTGAGGGCTAGTCGAATTTCAGACCTTTTAAGGACTGTCCCAAAATTTTAGTCTTAGTCTTTTGTGATAGATAATGCTTCAGGTGAAGTCGCATCCCTGGACATACACAGTTGTGATTTTACCCCACAGTTAAACAACGATAACAAACATTGTTGTATCATGGCTCACATAGTGTCAAACCGTAGTCTAAAACATGGTCAACAATGACTGGAACCAGATTGTCAAGCAACAGTTTCAAACATACAGGCAAACCAATAGTGGCACCATAGTTTTAAACCATGGTTTAAAACATGAAAGTCCATCCACTTGATCAGAGTATGGTATACACCGATTTGTTAAACCATGATTCCCACATGAACTGTATACCATATGGTATATACAAGGTTAGTATTCCTGTTTGTATTATGATGTACACAAATGGTTTACTGTCAGTATTTGAATCACACAGTGTTAACATGGCATAAATCACGAGGGGTTTACATTTAGTTCATACAAGATGGTTTACATTTGGCTTACACTTACTGGAAGACAACTTAATACTTCCACTCTCCTGTTTAGCAATACTGCTGGTTTCAGCAATGACATTAAATTGCTGAAATGCTATTTTCATTGGTTCGAACAAGCAAGAGCTCACTGCCTTGCGTGACAATAGGTAGATTATTTTGTCGGTGGTACGTTATGAGATGGGTCACACTGTCAAATATGAAGTCTTTTGTTCTCACCTGGAAAAGAAGAATATCATATATATAGCAATAAGGGATAAGTAGATCTTATTAGAATATTACTAAAGCAAACTTCTAAATGTGTTTCTGTTGCCATGTTCAGGTTAATGATACTGAATAAAGATAAATAATAGAATCAACTAAAGTGTTTTAATAATCATGTTCATCATTTTGTGCAGGACCTCAGATAATACACCTCAGTTTTACAGTGTTTCATATCTCTTATTTCATTATGATAAAAACCCTTGACCCTAGCTTCGTCACCCAAGCTACGTTTCGAATCACACAATAAAACTAACTACTCATCTTATCAAATTACAAGAGACTAGTTCCTATTAGGCATCACCTATTATGAACCATACATCACGAAAACAACAGGGAACCCACGGCGGCATGAGGGCCTCCATCCCCCTAAACAATCTCCATACTCAAGTAGACATCTTTTCAAAGCAAGAAATTCATGCTGAGTGAGAGAGTGAGTTTATTTTTACGCCACACACAGCAAATATTCCAGCTATATGGCGGCGGTTTATAAATAATCGAGTCTGGGCCAGACAATCCACTGATCCATAGTTCATGCTGAACAAAATTTACAATTGAAACATTAAGGGCTCGCTAAAACAAGGCCATAATTAAGGGCTTGCTCAAACAAGGCCATTATTGAGGGGCTTGCTCAAACAAGGCCATAATTGAGGGCTCACTCAAACAAGGCCATTATTGAGGGGCTTGCTCAAACAAGGCCATAATTGAGGGCTCGCTCAAACAAGGCCATTATTGAGGGGCTTGCTCAAACAAGGCCATAATTGAGGGCTTGCTCAAACAAGGCCATAATTGAGGGCTTGCTCAAACAAGGCCATTATTGAGGGGCTTGCTCAAACAAGGCCATAATTGATTGCTTGCACAAACAAGGCCATTATTGAGGGGCTTGCTCAAACAAGGCCATAATTGAGGGCTTGCTCAAACAAGGCCATAATTGATTGCTTGCTCAAACAAGGCCATAATTGATTGCTTGCTCAAATAAGGCCATAATAATTGAGGGGCTTGCTCAAACAAGGCCATAAGTGAGGGCTCAGTCAAACAAAGACATAATTGAGGGTTCACTCAAACAAGGCCATAATTGATTGCTTGCTCAAATATGGCCATAGGTATGTGGATCTATGCTGGCCTCTATTAAAGAACAACCATTCTTATTTGTACAGATCAACTTAGCTAGAACAAGGGATATTGAAATAGTAATGTCACTTCTATAACAAAGCTTGTGTATGGTTCCATGGCATATATATTAAGATATAATAACAGGCAGGATAAATAAGCATGCAGAGCCCAGCGAAGAAACCCCTTCATCTGATGAACTCACCACTCCCTCTGGGTCAACAAGAAGCAGATGTTTGACTAGCCCGTTCTGTCTACCACTCAGCACATACTGCCCGGGACTGTTACTGCTCTCTCGAACAAGGAAGTCACCGTCATGCTCCAGTCGCTCTTCAGCCTGGAGGGACAAAAGTCATATCCAAATTTCTATCTATTATGCTCTACATTCGAAATATTTGGCTACAGTTCACTGGTTTGGAAGGTAGTGTTTGGTATGCTATCATCATGAACAGGTATAACAGAGGGTAGTCTTGTTTGGAAGGTAGTGTTTGGTATGCTATCATCATGAACAGGTATAACAGAGGGTAGCCTTGTTTGGAAGGTAGTGTTTGGTATGCTATCATCATGAACATGTATAACAGAGGGTAGTCTTGTTTGGAAGGTAGTGTTTGGTTTGCTATCATCATGAACAGGTATAACAGAGGGTAGTCTTGTTCGGAAAGTAGCGCTGGATTGTTAACACCATAAACAGGTATAACTGAAATATAGCCTGGTGTCAGATATGCAGCGTTTTGTGCTGAGGTGTATAACACATTTTCAAAAAAATGCTGTATCATCAAAACAGCAGTAAAGCATCTGAACATTCATTTTGAAGGCCTGCACACTTCAAACTCACTACATGACAAATATGCAGTGTTTCCAATGATCACACAATCTTGGCAATTCCATGACCAACACATTTGCACAAAAGAGGATTTGAGTTGACACAATTAGTATTGGGATTACCTGCTTCCTGCCAATGTTGCCATGGAACCACTCTTCAAATATTGGTGGAGAGCTGACAGTACCATTAGAGGACTTGAGAGCACCTGCTGCTGGAACAGTGTCTGTCACAGGGGACTTGGGCAGGTTCGAATCAAACTGACCTGGAAACAAGGTAATAGAGAGGGTAACGTCAGGACCTCTTCCTGAAAGCTTTTTACACCCGGAACGCAGCATTCTATGTTAAATTCTAAACTTAATAATAAAATACTCTTGTCAAACTGCATAAAATTATTCATCTATGGAGAGAGGGTCCTAATTTTCATACTTTAAATTTTTTTTAGATGGCCTGTTTATCACTCCATTAATCAAAATCCAGCATTCTCAAGTTTCCCAACAATATCATTAAACTCAGCCCTTTTAACTCTGACAAAATACCTCTCTTTCTACAATCATTTAGGGACAAGACTTCTAAATAATCAGTAACCCTCAGTTGGAGGTTTGGTCAGATCTACTCAGCTTCTTCTCAGCAACTGATTTAGCTGTGTGTTGTTACATTTTGCTAAAAATGGGAATTATTTGTGGTACTTGACCAAATGTTCATTCAATCAGATTCTGGAAATACTGCAAAACATGTCCTGAACGAAACTGTTTGATTGATATTCAAAAAGATGGTGAGTAGTTTACAACTAAAGTCATATGCTCCATTATGTCCTGAGTCAGTGAGTATGGTTTTACGCCACTATGAAGTACCCACGTGGGGAATCGAACCCGGGTGTTCAGCTTTAATCATCATGCTACACCACCACCCCTGATGTCCTGAAAGACACCTGGTGTTCTACCTACCCAAATTGAAAGGATCAGCAGCTTTTCCTTCTTCATTCATTTCTGCCATGACATTGTTTTTGTTGTCATAGATGACACCATTCTCCTTGTTGTCATACACCGTGTCATCAAACAGACGATCTGAAGCTGATGCAGCTCCTACAGAACAAACACTGAATGTCAAAAACAGCATGGGTTTCACACTATATAAAGTCTTTGAATTATTAACTAAAACAGCATGATGTCCGGCAACATATGTTCGGCCTAATGTACCAAACACTCAAATGTACAGGAAGGGAAAAGCTATATGTTTGGCTTCCACCAGTTCTTGTCGACGTAACACTATTTATGTAATAAATCCATGAAAGCCTCTACCTGTAACCTAGTTTCCTGATGACTAAATCTGGAAGCAAGTCATGGGATGCAAGTATACTTCATTTGGAGAAATATAATCAGAGTTACTAGGCTCACTGAATGCTGATCACATTTCTCCAAGGCTGATTCTAGGAAGTTGTACATTTGAAAATTACCACCTTACTTCTATTTTCATTGAAACTTAAAATTCCCTTAAACAGCAGGTGTCCTTAGCTGAGAAGTCACATTCAGAAGATACTGCACTAACCTGTGTTGTCATATGTTGTCAGATCTATAAGCTGTCCCTCACGGGTCTCAGAATACAGACCATTCTCACTGCGATCTTTCACCGATGCATACAGACCAACCTGTACACAACAACACTTTACTTATTTCCTCATAGTCAGAATACAAGTTGCTGCAAGTGAGATTTGATCCTTTCAAAAACATAATTGACCATTATTCTTGTTATACTTATAAAAATTATGTGTTTAATTAGAAATGAATGTATGACAGATATCTTTCGAAATGTATGCAAGAATATGTTACAGCGACTCACCGGTACATTGGTAGGGGACTTGTACTCAGGTACTGGGGGGACCTCAGGAATAGGGGGTGAGGGGGGACAGGCCCCAGGGTGGTCGTTGTAGTACTCCTCCTCGTCACCCCATTTACTTTTGTCAAAACTAGAATTCTCCCGTCTAAAACAAAAAATACACCTCTGTTTTCATTGAAACTTACATATAAAGTCTGTTTTAAACAATTTATTTGACTCTGTATTCACTCGATCTGTGGCCTTTTCCCCCCGTCATTATCAATGACATGATTATTTTTGTCATCATATCAGTACCATTGTCTTTATAACTATCCCACACCAACCTCATCGACAACAGCCTCAGCATCACACTGCCGATCTCACCTGTCTGGTAGCTGTACAGCCTTAGGCTGTTTCTTGAGGTACTGCTTGAAGCGGAGCTCGAAGGCTTGCCCAACTGTGGTGACAACGTCCTCCGCCAGTCCACCTCCACATTCGAGCACATGACAAGCTCGGCCCTTCTGGGGATCCTTGGCAACGTAGGCCACAAAATCTAATGTTTCCTGCAAAAAACAACAACCAAACAAACCTGAACTCAATATACAACCCAATGGATCCATGGATGCCTTGAATAGCTCAATGAAAACAGAAAATAGAAAATGAAAATGTATCCCACCTAACACTTGATTTTGAAGTTAATATAACAGTCCAGTCATTGTGGCCTTAGCGAATTGATCAACACAAATATTTCAACCTGACACTGTGACTATTATTCTTATTTCAATCTACATTAGAAGAGTGGACTTCCAGTACCTCAAACATGTTTTTATGCCTATCTCAAAGGAACTCTGTCTCAAATATTTCATTGTCTGCAGAAAAACACTATCTTTATAATGATCTAACACAATGATCCTCTGATCAACATTGATCATGATGGTACAGTGAATGGGTACGAAGAAGTAATTTGCTACTTACAGCATCTCCTCCTGAGGCAAACGACACAACCTGCATGGGATGGTCAGCAATAATCTGTGGAAAGATAAACAATGATGCAGAAAATATTTACTGAAACAAAATTCTTAATGAATTGAAAATACCACAAGATTAGGAACCATTCATAATTTATGGCTAGGGGGAGTGATGATGATTTTTGTTGAGAAGCATGCACAATGTGAATGACCCCTCCCCTAGTACATGTGTACAATACTGATGACCCCCTACCTCCCCAGAACAAAATGGGTGACCCCACCCCCACCCCCCCCCTTTAAAATCATCATCACCCCCTAGCATTAAATTATGAACTGTCCCTTATCAAAGAATTATGCCATGACCTAAACTCCTTGTTCCACAACGCATATCCATACACACAAGTTAAGGTTACTCAACATTCAGTAGTGGTCTGCAACAATTGAAAGACACTTACCTCCCCTGACTCCATGACCATAAGATTAATGGACTCCACAGTGATAGTAAGATTGACATTAGATCCTGCATACTGCATGTATGGATTGTCGCCGATCATTTTCAGTATCTTCTTTTCTACCTAAAATACAACATAACCATTAACTGTCATTTACATAACTAATACCATCAAATAAAAGAAATCAAACTACAGATTACAATGGTCAATGTATTCAGTCAATAAAATTTCAACAACTTTATATTGAATGGGTTTTTTGAAAGAAACACATACATGGATAACACTCTATTCAGGTAAGAAGACAAAAAATAACCTTTCGTTTCTTGGATGCTGTTTTGAGTCCAGCTGCTTCTGTTACTCTGTTGATTGCTTCTCTGCAACAGAACCAATATCATCTTGTCATTGATCACGGTCCTCCAAACTGACAGTATGTAAAGTGTAAATCATGAAATTAATGCGAGCATCTTATTAATGAGAAAAATGCATCTGTACTCTTCTTGCATTATTATAATGACGCATTTCAATCTGACCATGTCTACTTTTGAGAACTTAAAAAAAGACAGAAAACATAAATCTGTTGACACTACACATTACACCAATACAGGTCACTTCCTCATTACAGGTATCTCAAGCCACGCGTAATTATCACTGGTTACAATCACTGGTCATTGTTTAAAGTCATTCAAGCACATCAGCCAGACCGGACATTCTCCAGCCCCTTGATTGTTGTACCTTGGTAGATGACTTGTGTCTTTCAAGTCGGATTACGTTTATAAATGTTGCCATAAGACAAGTAGTAGCAAGCAATCACGTGATCAAACATGGCAGCGTAATCAAAACATTGTCAGCCCATTCCCATTCATTGCTTAACAAGCTCAATTCAGGTTATTTGGTAAATAACAAGTGTGAAAACAACAACACCAAAGATTCAGCGTGTCACATTTTATCATCAACACAGATTCCTAAGCTCACATTAATTTCGTGACTCATTTTAGACTAGACCCTCGCACTCGCATTAAATTTGTGACGCATTAATTTCAAGATTTACAGTAGTTCAGTCATAGGAAAGTATGATAATGTTAAGTTTGCAAAGTTTCCTTTTGAAGGTATTATAAACCATACTAGGTCAAACACTAGAGGCCTACTGTCTCCTAAATTCAGCGGTTAGATAGGGAAGGTTTAAGAGAATTATGGAAAGTACATTTGGTTACAATTTCCTACTAAGTTAAAAAAAGTCTTTAGATTAAACCTACCTTGTGAGTGTTGTTCTTGTTTCAAAGTCCAAAGATTTCATTGATTCTTTCACTTCTATACAACCAATGTACTGGAATTGAAAACAAATCAGACCATCATAAAAAAGTCTATCAAATAAACTTATTATGATGAACATGTTACTGCATGTTCAAAAAGCCTCAAGAAAATACCATATAAGTACCTTTTACACATTTTATATGTTGGATGTTAGATTTAGAAATGATATCAACTAACACTAACTTAAAAATTACGACAAACATATCTGATTTGGTTAACAAAGATTCAAAGAGAAAATTGTTGAATAAACAATCATCAAAATAGGTAAAAGAAATCTGAACAATATTAAGACGTAATGCCTTCCTTGGAGGACACACATGGTGCTGGTGTTGAAACAAACATCTACCACATACCCTGACACCATAGCAGATTCCTGCATCAGGCTCCAGCTGTTGATCCGGGTGGATCCACCCTATCTCGGGTTTGTTCAGGAAGCTTCCTGTCCTGGACCATTCTGATGCAGGTCCAGAAGCTTTGTTCTTCTTCCGCAGCTTGTCCATCACACCAGCCATGCTGGAAGAAAAGACAGGCATTATCATTTATGAATTACCACCAAGTATGGACCAGACAATTGATACTATGAGCCACAGTTCACACTGTTTGGGTACAGAATCAGAAACACTGAACAGGGTAATTACCTGAACCATTATATCAACTTGTATCAAAAGTATAGGTAGTCTGGCATGCAGACCCTAAAACAAACATACCCAATACACCCCATGCAAGTCTTGAATGTGTGGCAAGTCTAGCTATCATAGTTTCTGAAAATGAAGAAAGTCTCTGGGCTCCTTTTTATTGTATTTTATTAACAGAATTTAAAAACTTTTTTTTCTGTAAAATATGTTAATTTCAGAGAGAAGATGTTAGCAGTGATTTACCTAGAGTCCTGTGTTTGAGGGTTCTTGGGACTCATACTCTTAATTTTCAGGGGTCCTGGACTACAAAATGGGGGTCCCAGACACTTAAATATTATTATTGATACTATGTTGTAATATTGTTGTAATTCAGTAACTGTTATTGTATTGTGTATCGTGATCATCACATTGGTACAGCAATTAAATTGCTAATGATACCCGCCTAGAGATTGCAGACTCGGTGATAACTTATTGTTACTTGATCAAAATTTTTACAAACAGTATTTAGACTTTTTCTGAGTCCCTGGGGACGTGCTAATAAATTTTGTTGCGTCCGTTGTCAATTTTTATGGGTATAGGACTCAGGAATTCGCTTCCTGTAAATCCCTGCTAAAGTATAGGCTGCTTGGTACTAATTCTATCTTACTCATAGTAAGAATCTTAGCATACTCACTGGGATTAAGTAATACTGAATCAAAGTCATACAGAACTTCTTCTAACCCAGCAATTCCTACAGGAACTTAGTAATACTGAATCAAAGTCATACAGGGCTTCTTCAAATGCAGATTACCCACAGTGACGAGTAATTCTAAATTAGGTCATACAGGACCTGTTTTAACTCAGCATTCCCACAGGGACTTAGTAATAGTGAATTAAGTCGTACAGGGCCTATTCTAACCCGGCATTGCAAATGGGATTTAGTGGTACAAGACCTAAAGGCTCACGCGGGAAAACAGATCTTTCAGATTTGTCGCATCATAATGTGAATCCCTCGCAGTCGAAAAGCTCACACAGTCAAGCAGAATATGCTTGAAGGTGAACACCTCATCGCAAGAGACACACATGTGAGGGCCATCCCCATCCGTTTTCAGCAGATAGTCATGAGTAAAGCGACTGTGGCCACTACGACATCTTCATAAAATTACCTCATCACATCTTGACTGACAACCCAAGTATGTATAACCAATTGTTGGTTTCAGTTCAAGAAGTTTATTTCTTCCTACTTGGGTGTCCCACCTTTTTTACATCTGATGACTTGTTCCAGCATCAAGCTCCTGATTGCCACTGTTGGGAACCTTGTCCTTAATAAGGAATCGGTTTCATTAGGTTAGCTCCAGTTTTTTAATTAACTCAATAAACTTTGCACAATGATGCAGCGTCAGCAAAGTTGGAACTTGGATGACTTCTGGACATGTGTGAGTGAGTCAATCAGTCTGTGAGTGAGTTGAGTGAGAGTGAGTTGTCAGGCATGTGTCTGTTTGGAACACTGAAGATCTGTGACTTAATGCTTCTCTGACTCGGGGTAGTTTTACTGCTCAGTATTTCTAATCATCTTTACACAGTGGAATTGTAACATGTAACTGTTATCTGACAATATGTGACATTATAAGTTATCACATCGTGTCGAGGGAAATACAGGGTTTTATCAGCCTCCGGCTCGGGGAATACAACCTAACGAGGGACTGGTTGTATTCCCCGAGATACTCCGAGCCGGAGGCGAGGGGAATACAACCTTACGAGGGACTGATAAACCCCGTATTTCCCTCGACACGATGTGATAACGCATTTATCTAGCCGAATGTTTTTACTAAATCAAACAACGTTTTGCTTCAATTTCATTCTCAGTTGTTGTGGCAAAACGTTTCCTTGCTGCCATGTTGACAACAGCTGATCGATTGACCTCAATGCAGCGCACGTTACTAAAGGCTTGGCGATGCACGCTTTTCTCACTTCGCGTGGTCACCGAGGCGTGGCGGGATAATATGACTTTTGTACTCCCTGCTCGCAGATCATGACCGGTGTACATGGTATTTTATCAGAGTCACGTGAAGCAATCAAAACTCGACATTCTTACACGAGGCTGGATAAGTCTTGATAGCATGGCAATAGCTGGAAAAAGACAATGTTATCAAACATTCCTTCAGGGAAAAGACACAGTAGTATATACAGTAGCAGTACGAGATCAAGTCCAACAAAAGCCTCTGTAAAGCTTCATTTATGAAATAAAGCTTTTGTCAGGCCCTTATCTCTCTCCGCTTTTGTATATACAGTCAGGCCGCGGTAATCCGGTCCTCGTTAATCCGAATCCCCCGACTTCCGAACGCTACTCACCGGGCACCAAATCATCTCCCTATATATTGTATATAATTGACACCTCGTTAGTCCGATGATTCAGCTTCCGCCTCCGAACGCTGGTCAGTCGGAACGGATTGGACTAATTAAGTTGTTAACAGCTGCGTTAATCCGAACGATTGAAGTTGACCGCGCTGCTGACTGGTCCACCCAAAGTGACACGTTGTTTGTTTAGCTTACTCATCCCTTTGATCCCTTTATCATAAGTGATAGGGAATTTCAATTTAACACGCTGTTTGGGAAAGACTTCAATCCAGAAATATATGCTCGGTACCGAATTAAAATTATAAACTATTTTTCGCAATGTTATTGAAAACGATTCTCGGACACATACTTCGCAGCGGTCCACAATAGCATTGTCAAAGAGCAAAGTAACGATGAAAATTGAATAAACTAATGAATAAAATCCATAATTTACGATAGGTAGCGATTTCTTGCTTAATATGTTCAAAATAGCATTATTTTACCCAAAACTTTCGCCTAAATCTAAAAGTTTTCGCTTTACTTAGGTCACGTGTCTGCTTTTGACCAATCACGACCCTTTATAGCAGACTGTAGCTTAAAAGCCGCCATTAGAAACCAATGTTTATCCAATAAAATCGCTTCTTACAACTGTGAAAAATACTCGCAAGGGTTCAGTGATGTTGTTGATGTTCAGAGCTTTCGAACGATAATTCGACATCAAACGATTCGCCTCCCATGTTATTCATAATGACGCTCAAAACGGAGGTATTTTCCGTTGTTATGTCATGTTACCGAGCGGAAAGCCACAGATATCGGAAATAGGCTTACCATACATATTATTTAAGAAATCTTTTTATAATAATTTTCTGATGACGTAAAAATGAAAATATAAAAGAAAAAGGCACGGGCATGTTATGACATGTCTCAAATGGAAAAAAATCGCCATAGTTTTTTAATAACATTATAAAAATAAACTTCATATTTATCAACAGTAGGATTAGATCTTTTAAATGGTGTATGGGATGTAGTAGCAATAACGTTTTACAAGCTTATAATTTCCTTCATAAACATATAGGCTTCATCTCTGACCTCAGAGTCTCGATAGTAAGGAAAGATATCAAGGGGAAGTAACTCGGTGCATATACTGTGGTTTCAGCAGTACGAACGTTTCACTATCCGAACGTTTTGTTTAAAAAACCAAAGTGTTCGTATTAACGAGGTCTGACTGTACCAGGTTTGAACCCCTAGTTAACTTCCTGGTCACTATGACCGCTCTGACACTTCTCTGTTTGAGAGTGAGTAAGTATGGTTTTTGCCGCTTTTAGCAATATTTCAACAATATCACAGCAGGGGACACCAGAAATGGGCTTAAAAAATAGTACCCATGTAGGGAATCGAACGCGGGTCTTCGGTGTGACGGGATCGGGATGTCAGGCTCGCTGACATGGTTGACACATGTCATCAGTTCCCAATTGTGTAGATCGATGCTCATGTTGTTGATCACTGGATTGACTGGTCCAGACTCAAATATTTACAGACAGCTGCCATATAGCTGGAATATTGCTGAGTGAGGCGTAAAACTAAACACATTCTGGCATGACAAGCAAATGCTTTAACTAGTTGGCTATACCATCGTTTGAGAAAGTGCAAAGGGTGGATATGATTGGCATTTATCAATTTTGGGTATTCTGATGATCCTACGGTTAAGCTAGTCTACCAAAACAACCTGCCTGAAATATCATCTGTTTACACAATTCTCAAAAATATTTCAGCTACCAGGTACATTACAGTTTCCTGTTGATAACCGAGTTCAACAATGTAGTTATATTGTTTAGTTGCATGAGTAACAGAGCTGTCAAGGCTTGACTCACATCAAGGTCACACACAGTATCAACTAGCCATTGTCATGGTAGTCAGTGAATATATAAGCGGAAGTATCATATATGGGTTTTGTGGTAGATATGGGTTTTATAACTATGATAAAAACATGTGTATCAAAACTGGAACAATAGGTTGGCAAGGTTAATGGAAACACAAGTATGTTCTACGACTTCATAAGATATCCATACACAGTAGTGGTGTTCCGATTAATTGAAATAATCGAAGACTGGTCGCAGTGACCAAACGACCAGCAATCGATCACTTTTTCCCATAATTGAATACAAACGATTTTGGAACTACTGTTTTAGTGTTTGAAACACTTGACAATTGAACTATCTTAGAAGTTGTCAGGGCCTGGAAACATGTTTAATTCTTAGAAAACTCACTTCACTTACTGAAAAGCCATGACTGCATATTTCTTGAAGACTTCAGGAAATTTATGTTCATGATATATTAGTCATCACTTTAAAGTAGAAAGTTGCATAATTTTACATTGGATGTAAAGTTTGCAAATGTAATTTGCGCAATTTCTAAATAAAACAAAAAACAACAGAAAACCAGGTTATACTTATCTGCAATGACAACCTGAATAGAAAAATCTGAAAAATGACGCTAACCAATAATTTTTCGATGCTTGCTCATTGGTAATAAACCCATCATCAATTGTGAGGTTTCAACCAA